TTCATGAACTCATTCTGAAAACCAAGCAAACCCATCAACAATTAGATCAAATTTCATGAAAAATCAGAGATCTCTCTATGAACACACAAGCTACCACACAAGCTTTAGAGATATAGAGAGAGAGCGATAGATACCTGAGAGAGGTGGAGAGAGAGAGGTGGAGAGAGAGAGGCGGAGAGAGAGAGGCGGAGAGAGAGAGACACGGAGAGGGAGAGACACGGAGAGGGAGAGACGCGGAGAGGGAGAGACGCGGAGAGGGAGAGACGCGGAGAGAGAGAGACGCGGAGAGAGAGAGACGGCGAGAGAGAGAGACGGCGAGAGAGTGAGAGAGATGAGAGAGCGACAGTGAGGTGAGAGCTTCAAGCTCCTTTCATGGCGAGAGAAGGAGAGAACGAGAGGAGAGAAGAAGATCGACGGCAAAGAGGTTGATAAGATTAAAAAATTAGGTTTGTAATATTTGAGTTGAGATAAGGGTAATATAGACATTTTATTATTTCAACTGAACCAGGTTCAGTCAACTGGTCCGATTCGGTTCAGTCAACTGATTCTTCAAATTAAAACTAGATTTTCGAAAACCATTTAACTGAACCAGTTGAATGAGCCATACATTTTTTGTCAAAACGAACAACAGGCTCAGCTTCATTCAAATGGCTCAGTTGAATGAGCAGACGAACAGGCCCAATGTTGCGATAAAATAAATCAAAAGTTCTTTGTGACACTAGGAAAACAAAAAAAAAATGCAGTAAATTAAGAATAAAAAATCAAAAGTAATGTTTTATTAATCAATAGAAGAAAGTTACAATTTATCACAAATTGCTATTTAATGAATTAATGTAGAAATGTCTATATAGAAAAGGAAGATTAAAAGTTTAAACATGTGGCAACCACATAATTTGACTTGAACAAGAAGAGTCTTCGATTTATATATACACATTGAAAGTATATCACAAAGCTGTCTGAATTGTATTTTACAAGTTCAACACTTTTTTTTTGAAGCAACAAGCCCAACACTTTTTATTTTCTTCTTTTCACGTTAATCAACAACGACGACTTTTGTAATAATGTGTATTTTGTACAGTAACATACAAAGATTTTATCAAGTAGATAGAAATCATAAAGGAGCAAGAGTACTATAGTAACGTGAACAAGAATACAGATTATTCATTGTCTTTCAAGATCTATTACACGATCTTGGTCAACGCGAGAATGTTCGTTCCTGTCCGAAGATCTTTCTCTTGTCAGAATCCTCCGAAAAGAATCTAACCGCGAAACCGATGACACGCCACTCTTGTAATCCGACGAAGATGCACCGTCCCCAACTGGCCCTTCTCTTGGCTCAGGCTCAAGCCTTTGACTCGGCTCGACTTCACTTCTACAAATGGGACAACTAGAGCTCGTGGTGAGCCATGTGTCAACGCATGTCACGTGAAACACGTGCTTGCAGTTTGGTAGCATCCTCGCCATATCTTTCTCCTCCAACAAGGTTAGACACACTGCACACTCCGTAGCCGAGCCATCATCACCGTTGACTCCAACAATGAATGTAGGGAGAGAAGCAATTGCAACTTTGTCGAGGCCACGTTTGGGCGGTTGAGTAATGACGGTGAAAGATTGGCCTTGGAAGGTGGGTCGATGGCGGCCGAGAACGAATCTTGCGTATAGATGGTAAGCAAAGACGATGATGATGATAATAGTGAAAGCAACGATGGTGACGAGTAAAATATTGCTGCTGGCTTGGTAAGACGACGTGTTTTGCCATAACAAACGCTTGGGCTCTATTCCCTGATCATTATCTCTGTTGTTAAAGCTCATGATGATCTTTCTTCGAGAAATGGAACGACAGAAAGTGGGGTAATAAGTTAATAACAAGTAATGGAAAAGTTGAAAAGATCTTAATTGTGTAATTAAATTACAGTTACGTAAACGTTATGATGATCTTGTCACCCTCTTATTATATTCTTTAATCTTAGAATATGGTCGGTGGATGGGGGTAATAGGCAATGGGCAGTATTTCGACAGAATTTATCAGATACGATCAGTATCCAAGCGACGTAGTTGACTTTACTCAGATTTATTTAACTTAAAAATTCCAGTTAAGTCTATGCAATTTAGAGCAATATTATTGGGAAGTTCTTGCTCTTGGTCCTTAAAAAACATATATACGTATATATATATTATATATGTGTATATAATTGTAGGTTAAGGACTTTACGGAAATCGAAATCAAAAATCTCTTATTTAAGAGACTTTTGATTTCGGTTTCCGTAAAATCCTTAACTTGTAATTATATACGCATATATGTATATTTTTTAAGGATTAAGAGTAAGGATCTCCCAATAATCTTGCTCTTAGCTAGGATTGCATCTGATATATAATGTTACTGTAAAATAAACTAGGTTTCTCGTAACACTTACAAAAACAAAAAGTTATGCACTAACTAAAACTAATTTAA